TTCTTGATCTTTTTTTTTTAATTTTGATGTTATTCGTGTTTTCTGAAGAGGCGAAAGTAAAGCTGACTGATTTCTCATTAAGACGGAACTCGATCAGGCACAAATAAAATGAAAGTTTTAATTGCACGTTTTGTATTAACAAAACAGACATATACATGTAGTAGTGTGAAAGGGTCAACCTGATTAAGTACCTTGAATTTACGACTGCCCTATGGAGATTAATGAGCATACGTTGAACCCAGAGTATAGGAAACAATGCGAAAATTATCAACAATAGCGAGTAGAACACGTTGTACTTGACTCAATCACGTTTGTTATGACGATACGCATAGTTTTCTTACCTGAACTTGAGTACCAATCGAGAGTGGCACATGAGAGGATTGAAGCGATCACAAGTTTTTCGAGAAAGAACGTCGCTGAAAACAGCGTTTCAGCAAGATAACCTGTCTTTATTATTATTATTATTATTATTAAATGTATGTCAGGGCAACAGCGTTGCCTTGACGAAGAAAAGCTCGCTTGTCAGAACGTTGGCTCCACGACACTCTCTGTAATAATTTTTAGAAGCATTTCGTCCATCACGTGTACTTGAGTGACGCTATTTGAAGTAAAGACTCACAAATTTTCAGACCGCTGCTACAGGAATTTCATGGGCAGGAAGTGAGATATAATTACTTGAGATCGTTTGAACTAAGCGCCGAAAATAAAAGAAGCTAAAGCTAAAGGGAACAGCGCAAAAACGGGACGGAGAAATATTGAACACACGTCACAAGCGCTGTTCAACTTTCTCCGTCCCGTTTTCTGCGCTGTTCCCCTCAGTATCATGTACCAACTAGCCCTTCAAGAAACCCTTCTGCAAGCTGAAAACTAGCCGAGCCAAATCAAGTTCAAGTATTTCAATAAACGCAATTTTCCCGACAGGACCTTGACCAAATTATTCAAGCGACACTGCACTTCTGTCAGTGCAGTCAGGCTTGCAGAGAACTGGGTTTAATCATATGTACTCATGCAAAATCAATAACTGCTGAAATAATGGGTCCAAATTCTTGTGCTCACCTGTTGCCTTTAGGAGACGCTGAAGAACCTTCGCGGAACTAGAAATCGCCGGGTTAGCACACCGAAGAACCGCGCAAAACATGTGTTGCCCGTTTAGGCCACTTTCGACGAATGCATGGTTGACTTGTCCGGCGTAGATCACTGTGGCTTTCGTTCTCTGCCCGCCACATCTCGTTGTCCTTATCTTTTCCGTAGCTGACACGCCAACCGAGCCAGATAACTGAGCGCGATCCAACTTTTGATATCGCTGAGCGAGGGGCGAGAAGGAGCGGAGGCAAGCGCTACGAACGCAAGTCGATCCCTTTCCGCGCTTCGCCTGATGTAAAATTCAGAAAGTAAAAATGAAAAAAGACAAACAAACAAAAGAGAAATTCTTTGGGGGGGGTATCGAATTTCTTTTTATTTGTAAAAACTTGCGAAAGCCAACAAATGCTAACATTCACACCAACGTCAATCCGTTCAATCAGATCTTAGGATGCCCGGCAACCGCTAAGATTGATTGATTGATTGATTGATTGATATGTAGGGTTTAACGTCCCAAAACCACCATTAGATTATGAGAGATGCCGCTAAGGGCGTGCATGTTCCATGAAACCGAAACTATGGCGCCGAGTTTCCGGGGCCTGGTTTGGTCGCGGCCGTAATTCCACAGACTGCCGAGGTGTGGCGCTGCGCGCGATCTGACATTCATTTCACATCACCCATGTGGGAAGGCTCGACCAAGGCAAGAATCGACGACTAAAACGACCACGTACCCTCCACGCCTCTGAGCGCCTTGACCCGTCCTCGCGATTTTACAGTCGGCGCGCTTGCGTGCCAGCAAGCAAGCGCGTCACTTAAAACTCGTTGACGACCGGTATGCGTCGCCACCGCCGCAGGGCGCGAGCGTGACGTCGCAATTCGAGAGAACGGTGAGCTCGCGTGACTTCTTAGCAGGGCACTGCGAAGGGCAGCGCGGTGCCCACCACAAACAGAAAGAGAAGCAAAGCGTATAGCGAAGAGATAAAGAAAGAAAGAAGCTAAATGGAAAGCAGCACGCATCTTGCGGATCCTATACGATGCCTCTAAAGAATGGGGGCGACGTCAGGAGCGTGGGAGATAACTCGCCTGCAGAGCGAACGCGCCATCGCCGGTCAGCCCGCCGGAGCTGCCGGACATTACGTTACTTGATCCAACGCCGGTTGTGCGCGAGGGCTTATCTGCTACTGGCGAGCTGCAGCGCTTCCTCCGTGATTTGCTCCAGAGCACTTCCGTGCGCGTCATCATGCTACTTGCCACGCATGGAAGCCATGGTTTCAGAGGCACGAAGCGGACGCAGCGGAATGCAGAGGCACGCTTGCCAATGTGGACGCATTTCCGATGCGCCCGGGGAGGAGGAGGTAGTGGTGGTAATGATAATAATAATACTAACAATTGCTGGGTTCTTGCGTGCCAAAATCTTGAACACGATTGAAATTACGCCCTGGTGGAAGGCTTCAGATTAATTTCGGCCACCCGGGCGGGTTTTTCGACGCGAATTTGAATGTAAGCGTTACGGGTGTTCTTTACATTACATCCCCGTCAAAATGCGGCGTCTGAGGTCGGGAATCGAAACCGCGTCCTCAAGCTTAGCGGCGAGGCGTACACTTACGCTTTCCAAGCAGTTTCCTTCTGCCCATGATAAAGGACACTGCGCTAGCCCTGTATAACGCGCGTGTCACACCCTGCAGAGTACCGTTTAATAACAATGACAACAAAGCGCTAAGCACGATTTCAATGGTATCTATATTTTTGTACGAAAATATTTCTAGGTTAGGCTCCAATAAAGACGAATGTTATCCAAATACTTCTTAATGTGAATGCGCTTGGACATATATCAGCGTTCAGTGGAGGCGCCGAATCACACGACGCCACTGCAACACCTGTAATGATAAGAACTAAATACATAACGCGTAGAATCACGCACGGAGAATAACCGTCGCCTAAGACTGCACTTCTTTGGTATTTCAGAAAAGAAGTACGCCGTTTTCGGCCGAAGCACCGCAGTCTCTTTTCAGTGGAATAGCCGTACGCAGGTAGCGACAGCGCGAATCCCCGCAGAGCGTGTCCAAGTTGGAAAAAGGGTTGGCGGAGAAAGTCGATGAGCAGGTGGTGTGTGTGTGTTACCGAGAAGTTATTACTTCTGGTACGCTAAGTGTACGGGAATAGCTGGCTAGCAATGCCGGGAACGCTGCCAAAACCGAGACCCCCTCCGCTCGTCCCCCGCAGTCGTCCTCCTTTATCGTAGATACTCTTCATGGGGCCAGGAGGGCCCGTGAGAGAGACCTCAAGGTTGACTGTCTGTGCTAATGGGGGACACCGCCAACAAGCGAGGAATGCAGCGCGTTCCCCTCCCTAGGAGAGCGCCGGCGCTGCGGAACGAACGGAGTGGACAGAGGGGGAAGAGTTGCAGAAAGAGACGAACCCCAAACCTTTGAATCGAGAGTTTCGAGGAGAAAGGGAAACGGTCGCAACGTTCTCGCGTACGTTCGCACACAATAGACAGTATGGGACTGGCGCTGTTTCTGCCGCTCGTTAAAGTCTTGTAGGCACTGTGATATATATAAGGCCGTTGTCACGACCTACGCGCGTATGTTTTCTCCTGTCCTGGGATATAGCACAAAGGGCTACGCGGCGACGGGGAAGGGGCGGTGCCAATGCGTGGCCCCTGTCACCCAGATGACCGGACGAGGACAATGCGTTTCAGTGGGAAAACGGAGCCCCACGTGCGTGCGTTTCTTTGCTTTATTTCCCTCTGACCGCGCGTGGTGGGTCATCTTCACCCGCGGAGAAGACTCCCGGTGAAGATGTGACGTCGACACGCCTGACCGACGCGTGTGCGTTGGACCAGTGCCGTGCTGAAGAACGTCATATCTCGTCCGCGCAAGAACGCGCAGGTGTACGGGCTGCGAGTGGTATTCGCGGTCGTTTCTAAGTTCGTCCAAACAAACGAGAGGGAAAGACATTACGGACAATTAAGACAAAAAATAGTAGGGGGAGGGGGAGAAGGGGTCAACGCGCGTGACGTGCCTAGATGGACCTGGTGCCCTTGTGCTGTGTGAATGCGAGAGTGTACGTCGCTGTTGCGACACTGACGCCTTCTTACGGACTAAATCGATGAGATTGAGGTCAAGTTGTCGTCCCCTTTTGTGCTAGTCCGTTTACGCGCGTGCGATATCGGACGGAGATCTTATCTTTGTAAAATGAGGGTGGCTAATGCGAGAAAAGAGCATGTACCTCTACTGCCCTCTCACGTCTAGGGTTGGAGAGGTCGGTCCCAAGATTTCAGTTACCGCTGCTGGGTGTGTTCAATGAAAACTAGAACGGACGTACATCGGCCGCCAAGGGGTGCAAGCAATGCTGTTGAACTCTACGGACGTCACAGACGCCGCTGCTACAGCTGCGTTGGTTCGAAAGTGAGACAGCGTATCATGGCCCCGATGCGATGTTCGGCTATGTGGAGTGACAGACCCTGATCACATATGACTTCACTCTTTAGAGATCACTCGATCTGGAAGAGAGCACGCAACCAAGACGGAACCGCTACCACTTTAGGGACACCTTTCGTGCTAATACGTCACTTGCGTCGTTTTTTTAAATCGCGCTTACGGCTGTTTCTTTTTTGGTTCTACTTATATACTACTAATATATATATATATATATATATATATATATATATATATATATATATATATATATATATATATATATATATATATATATATATATATATATATATATATATATATATATATATATATATATATATATGAGAAAGCTAGGACGTCGTCAAACGAACTTTGTCATTTTTGGCGTAAAAGTAGTGCTCGTTATTTGCTGTTACTTTATTCCAGTAACTTTCGCCGTTTCCCGCATACGCGAATGCGTCCAAAAACTGACCTTTTCCTCACTGGTTCTCATCGCAGCACGCCAGCCAGTGTCCCCTGGAACCCGTGTACTGCGAGAACAAGTGCGGCGCCAAGGTGTCCCGGCGGCTGCTCCAGGAGCACCGCACGAACGACTGCACCAAGCGGCTCGTGCCTTGCCCCTACTGCCGCAAGGAGTTCGTCTTCGACACGCTCAAGGTAAACGCCCAACAAAATCTTAACAGGTACCACGTGTAGTGAATCGACGCTATCGCAGAGAATGAGCAGCGTATGTAAAACTGCAACTAATGGTATCCGCATCGTGACTATTGTTATCAATACTATAAACACGGCACATACACAGCTTTACACAAGCGTAACGTAGTTATATTAAATTTAGTCTGTCAGGCTCTCAACTCTGGGCTGTCCAGAGGGCCCAGAACGCGGCGGCGAGGCTCGGCCTACCTGCTCCGACGTGGGAGCGGCCCGCTGTTCTCCCTCCTTGAGGTAGTGTTCCTCAGGGCCTCAATAAAGTTCTGTGTCAGTATGTCTGTTAGGTGCTTCCGCGTTTAATAGAATGGTACGAGACAGAGACACAAGAGTCATCACTGCTCGAATTAAGAAAGCTTTCATATGAAAGTGCTTTTCGCCGTTAGTCGCCAACATTAATTTAATAATACGTCCAGCATGAGAACTGCCTAGAAGTTTCTCCGATAAAGTACTACGAACTGAAGATTTTTTTTTAAATGCGGAGCATTTTATAGTCGCACCTAGTCGCAAATCCGCCGTCGACACCCCCATTGCGCATGCTCGCGTCTCGTGCCAACTGTCGAGCGAACGGGTCGCGGCGATGCGCGACGCAAAACGTGTGCTGTCTTTTCCGACAGAGTTCGTTAGTTCACCTCGTTCGTCAATACGAGGTAGCAACACGTGCATCGAAACTACGGCGTCACGGTCGTTCGGCGAGCTTTTGAAAAAATCCTCCACGTGCAGAGCCCCTCCTCGAAAGTCATCGCTCGTCTAAGCCGGCTTCTCCTCACGAAAGGTCATAGTGCGGAGAAGCACGCTTTACGTCAAATAGAGAAAAAAAAATCAAATAGCGATATTTATCATCAGTCCCGTAACAAATAAAGCACACGTAAACCAGGATTTGACCTTCTAAGGTGAATGCAGCAACGGGCACGCTAAAACGAATCGGGTGCCTCCTCAAGCGGCGTGCATTGCGCATGCCACGTATGGCCATGCACAGCTGATAATTATTGGGAGCTAACGTCCCAAAACCACCGTATGTTTACGAGAGACGCCGTAGTGGAAGGGCTCCGGAAATTTCGACCACCTGAGGTTCTTTACCGTGCACTCAAATCCGAGCACACGGGCCTACATCATTTCCGCCTCCATCGGAAATGCAGCCGCCGCAGCCGGAATTCGATCGCGCGACCTGCGGGTCAACAGCCGAGTACCTTAGGCTATAGCGTGGTAGCTGAGAAGTCGATCAATGGCACTGCGAAACGAAGGAAGGCAGCTTTGAGCCCGGTTGGCGATTGGTCGTGAACGAGCACGTAAACGAACTCCGACCGCGCGCAGTTTTTTTTGGTTCTATAAAGCGTTCCCCAGGTTCGATGCACCGGTATTTGGCATTAGGCTACCAGCATATTGAGATGTCATGGGTCGGCCACGGAAGACCAGCAATGTGATGGTAGCGTTACACGTACGTGAGTAACGTGACCCATTCATGGACTGCCTGGTGGTGTAAAATACACACAAAAAAGCGCGGGAACGAAGCATACTCGGCCGAAACTTTACACGTCGAAAGTGATCCGGATATTAAAGATGTGCAAAAATCAGCTTGTCGTCCGCATGATTTGACAAAATAACGTAACAATTTATTGCGATAGTGATTCTACGCACATTCTCGGCTACTCTTTGCCGCCACCGTCACGTTTCGTATAAAGTCCGAATCGATGACATCGTTCAGCGCGTCGTACGTTTAAAAGAGCGCGAGCGCTGGCGACGAACGCAGCTGAAGCAGAAATGAAACGAGCCGGTCATCTCCGTCGCTTGAGGATCACGTTGCCCCGCGTTCGTGGCATCCGAAGCGGAGGAAACAACTCGCACTTCATAGAACGAAGGCACATGAAGGGGCACCGGTCGAGGGGGGGGGGGGGGGGGGGGCTGCGTCGCTCGAACAACTTTTCAGAAGGGCGCAGTCAGGCTCGCTAACAGGGATCCGTAGACGGCCCTTATACGCCTGTACCTATTCTGCCCTCCCAACTTTCATCGCGCTGAAGCAGCAGACAAAACGAAAACCGTTGCGCTCCCAGGATAAGCCACATTCTCTTGCACCAGCGTTTTGACAAGTTAAACGAGATCGGATCCAACGCAGTTAGCTGCTCGCCTTACACCTTCTGCATTATAATTTGTTATCACATTCATTACTTCGCTTTTAAAGCGGATATTTAGCTTTTAAGTTTCAAATCCAAATGACACTGCAGCCAACGGAGGACGACGCTCACATTCCCTTCACTCATTTTTCTTCGCAGAACCACATTCCCAAGTGCCCGCGGTACCTGGTACAGTGCCACCAATGCGAGACGACAAAGATCCCGCGCGAAGATTTGGAGCACCATCTGAAGGAGTTCTGCCCTGCCGCGGCTGTGGGTTGCGTTTTTAAGGATCTGGGATGCAAGTTCAAGGTGATGGCGCGCCTCATGCACCTGCATGCTTACAACTCTGTCTCTCTTCCCGTTACTTATGGCTAGCTGTGACCTCTTGTCCTGTCATAAGCCGAGATCTGTCCTGAATGGCCTGGACGTCTTCCACTGACAATGCACATTGCGCATGCAATGAGTACGGCGACCGAATGAACTAATTGCCAGGCATGCATCTCGTTCATGCTAGCGGAGAATCGCGGAATGTACGGTACACACACTCCTGCAGCATTTGATGCAGACTTAGCTGAAGAACAGGTGGCACACTTGTGCAGCATGATACCACCGATATAAAGGTTTCCGGTTCTGCAAATCCTCAAATAAACTGACTTTCGCCGGTTACTGTGCCTGCGTGCTTTGAATGAGTGCAATATAATCGTACAACGCAAACTGAAAGTATGCGGGTCTCGAGAGCGTAGCCACAAAACTTGGGGGAAGGGTTCCATCATACTTGATTTTTATTAGTGCATTTATGTGCATAAGTGTACATTTACACATGCGAAATTTAAAGACAATCAAGTGGCGGGACGTCTTGCAATGAGCCACATTGAAACAGATTAGTTGCAACAATGCACTTTTGTCACCAGGAAAACGGCCCGCATGACAGTTCTTTAATATGCATGGTACAAACGTACGTGATGTTTCACAGACATCATATGGTACACCAGAGGTTATAGGTTGCCGTTTTTTTCATTGCAGGGTTCGCAGTTTGCGCTGGACCAACACCTGGAGGAGAGCAGCAAGAGCCACCTGGGCTTGCTGTGTGGCATCGTGTCGCGGCAGCAGCAGCAGATCTCGGCTCTGCGCACCGCGCTGCACGGCCTCGTCGCCAACACGACGGGCACGCTTCTCTGGAAGATCTCGGACTACTCGCACAAGATGGCCGAGGCCAAGGCCCAGGAGGGTGGCCTGGAGATATGCAGCCCGCCTTTCAGCACCAGCCCGTACGGCTACCGGCTCATGGCCACGCTGTTCCTGAACGGCAACGGCTCCGGCGAGTCGACGCACCTCTCGGTCTACATCAAGCTGCTGCCGGGCGAGTACGACTCACTGCTGCCGTGGCCCTTCGCGCACACGGTGTCATTCGCGCTCCTGGACCAGCCGTCGACTCCCGAGAAAGCGTGCCACATCGTCGAGAGCTTCGTGCCGGACCCGACGTGGAAGAACTTCCAGCGGCCCAGTCGGGAGCCAGACGCGCTCGGGTTCGGCTTCCCGCGCTTCGTGTCGCACGAGATGCTCAAGAAGTGCCACTACGTGCGCGACAACACCATCTTCATCAAGGTCACCGTGGACGAGAGCAAGATTATCGCCGTGTGATAGCTGACTGCCCGGAGGAAATGACCGTTTTCGATGTACTGGCGGTGGCATTCTTTCAAGTGCTCATCAATGGCACTAAAATGTCGTGGTGATTGGACGAATTTTAAGGCTCAAATATTCCCTGCAAGAAAAGACTCATCTTGTTGCCAGGGCCAGTTGGCCACATAAATTTCTGGGACGCGAGTTCCACAACAGTGCGGACTCCTGCAGTCTTAAATTGAGCGGCTCTCATTGACTGATCATTTAGTAGATTGCAAAACTTCAAAACTGAAAACCTCGAATTCAAAACTTGGGAGCATGTTTTGGAAAATTATGTGGATGGCTCTACAGAAATTTGCTGTCTGGTAACACTCTGGTACCAGATGTATTTGCTCTTTAATCTACAATAAGTCGTTCGGGGCCTCCCGTAACTGTGAAATTTATACCGGGTCAACAGAACTGTTGAGAGTGCTGCTAAATCTGGAGCAGAGAGTTGACAAACTTGAGGGCAACTGTCTCTCCGTGCAAAGGTGGCTTACAACGAATCTTTTCTGTCATCGCAATACTGTGTGGAACCAACATAAACAGACTGCAACGAGAGCCACACAGAGGTGCATTATGATGATGTGCGCCAGTTCAAGTCACTGAAACATCATGCCACTCCTCAGGCCATTGCAATTACACATTTTAAGAAAGCTTTCTTCACAGAATCAATTTGAATACACACATCAAGTGCAAATATTGCCCTTGCAGCCTGCCTCTTCCAAAGGAAACATGATTACAATGACACACAATCAGCAGTACACGCATAGACCATTCCAGTCATGCTTCGCAAGCTGCAGTGCACATTTTTACAGCATTGCTTGCAATAATAGGTGCGTACTGTACATGTGGAACGCTGGGACCAATACGCAAGTGACCTAACAGGCCCAAGACGTTGCTTTGCACTTGAATACTGCATAAGAGCATCGAACTTCCATGACATGGCTTTCTTAGGGGTGAAGCAAAATGTTACACATGCACAGAAATGCGCACGAATAAACGACGGAAAAGGCATTGTAGGACAATGCAAACTGCCGCAGCTTTATACCTGCTACACAAGACATCTCAGGAAAATCTTTCGTGGGCATAGAAATGCCATCATCGAACTTTTCTAGTGGGCTTTGGGAATTAAACTTTTATTTCTACCATGGTAATATTTCCACTATAACGGAGGCATACCACAATACTTGCGAATTTTGGAGCACCTTTTCGAATCTAGTAACACATTTCTCTTTCCTACTAAGGAATTACAGCCATCGATGGTACACATTTATACTTGGAACCTGCAACAGCTAGGTATCAGATACAATGACACCGTTGAAACCAGTTGAGTCTATAGCTAATTAATAGCATGAATTGTCCAAGTATGGCATCTGCAAGTTTTCATCTATTACAAACTGGTTCTCGTTTGTTTCTCTATCTTGTGGTCAAGTAACAAGTATTTATTTTCTTATTAACTTGAGTAATTTCTTCCTATTGGAGCAATTTCCAAACGCTTTCGAGGCCAAAGCTTTCCTTTTAAACAGTTTTTACCCCCCCCCCCCATATAGCTTTATGTCTGTCGCACTATTTTCTGACATGCTTTGTATACTTTGTGTATTTATGATAGCGTATATATCTTTTAATATAATGCTCAGTCTTTTTTGTTTTTTTATTGTATATAAAAAGAAATCTATACTACACATGTATGCCTTATAGATGTGCATTTGTTTACAACGAAGCTTGTATGAAAACATTATTTGTACGCTCCTAGTCACATGTTGTCCACCACGCTCATCCTCATCGTCTGTAGATTTGTAGTCATATTGAAAGTATGCACGTGCCTTCATTGTTCCAGCTTCAATAAAGACATTGGATATACTGAATGTGTGAACAGCGTAGATTTCTTAAATGTTGTATTGCAGTAAGAAATGACTTCTCATCACATAACAGACGGTGATGTTTTAAATGGTCTAGTCTCAACGCGACACCACCTTTACATGTTTACAAAGGGCCAACAAATTAATGGAACAAAAATAGGCAAGATGGGCAACTTTGTGCCAAGTGACGTCGGATGAAATGTAAAACTCTGTGCAATGAATTTTTAAAAATATGTTGGGGACAATAAAAAAGTAAGTCGGCAATCAAAAAAGAAAGTCTCAAATGAAAAATCTAATATTCATTATTATAACTTAATAAGCACAAGATGCTTGTTTTGTGCTTCAATGAAGCATAACTTAATATTATCATGATGCAGCAAAACATGGATGTCACCATCAGTCAACACTGATGCAGTTGGCAAGTTATGTCACTATGCTTGAGGAGTATCGCTTCTTGGAATTACACACCTATGATCAATAATTTGGTGCCAAGGTGACATCTACCTTTTTTTTTTTTAAAAGCACACTATAGTACCTTTCGCTCACAGTAGTGTAGCCGTCGCACTGCGTGAAAGTGAACCGTACAATGCAAATATCTGCTATACAATGACTTTATTAAAAAATATGAGTTCTTTGCCTACACCCAAGAAGGTCTCGGCTTTTCTTCTCCACAAGGAATCCGAGTCTTTCGTCACGACTACACTTCCTTTTCTCATTCTTCCATCCATGGCATCCACTGTACATGCAGAGTCACATTGTAACCAGACAGTGCTCCAAGGCTTGCTGTGACCGAAGGGCTTTCACAAAGCTTCGTCGACATAGCGGGCACAGTTGCTGCTTAGCATCAAACATGTGGCTGTAGTAAACTTGTGCGAATACTCGAATGCTTCGAATATTCGAAGAGTATCCGAATTCGTTTCTATTCGAATTTAAATTATTGGAAATTTCGAAGTATTCTAAATTATTGTATAAGTGTATGTGACCCCTTGTATATGTGGTTTCGCTACGGTGAGGAGTGCTGAGCCATGAAAACACCTATCCCGGGAAAATCTGCTCTGCCGCACAGCCCCACTTTAAGGTTAAATGAACGCAATACCTTTGCATCGATTATCATTACTGAAGCTTAAAAGTTCATTATACCAGCATATGTACTCTTAGTAAACCTTGAAATGTAACATATTTTACATGTTAACACTAGCTTCTACCGAGGTTGAAATCCTGCTGCTATGCAAATTTATTTCTGCTTCCTTTGAACTAGAAAAAATGGCACTGGCACAGGCCTTGTTTTAATTAAAAAATTATATATATTGTGCAAGTTTGATAGGTCATGACATATGTGCCAATTTTTTTTTATGATACCTCATTTATACCATTCAAATTTGATTCGAAATTATTTGACCAAAATCACTATTTGCTTCAAACCTAACATTCTCTGTTCGCGCACCCCTAGGCCTTCGGAATTACTCTTTTTGCCATTTAAACAAATAAAATCAATCATGAATCTCCACTATCAGCAAAATACGTAGTATCACTGCTATGACCCGCTTGGAAGTGGACCAATATAAAATTGGTCCACTTCCAGACCAGACCGCACTTTAAAAGTGCGGTCTGGTTCTCCATTCAGCAGTTTGTCCCCTTCCGGAAGGTACGCCAGAACCGTAAACATCCATGGATATCTCGGGAGATTATCCACATTAAACGCAGAATCAAGCGACTTAGAAAGCGTAAAAACGTAGCACCCGAAAAATTTGAGGTTTTGAAAAGAAATTTGGCGACCAAAGTAAATGATGCTAGGACACATTACTATCAAGTCACTCTCCCTTCATTCATTAAAGAAGATCCTGCTAAATTCTGGAGATTTCTGGCTCAAACCAATGAAACAGTGAATAGAATTAAACTGGACGGCAAATACGAAACTGACGGCTTCTTAATATCGCAGGCATTCAATGAATATTTTCACAGCGTCTTCACTTTTTCCAATGCTTATGTACCTCTGCCAGCTATTGTTAACGAGGTGAACATTCCCACTGTCACAAGGGAGGGTGTTTTGATTTTACTAAGAAAACTGAGCACCAAAAAAAGTATAGGACCAGACCAAATCCCAAATACATTTTTAAAGCGCTATTCTACACAGATAACTGATTTCTTGACAGAGGTATTTAATAAATCATTGCGTAGTGGTGAAGTTCCGGGTGACTGGAAGATTGCGCGTGTTGTGCCCATCCATAAGAAGGGAGATAAATCAATTGTTTCTAATTACAGACCGGTTTCCTTAACTTCAGTAAGTTGCAAGTTACTAGAACACATAGTGGCTCAAAATATTCAGTGCTTCTTAGCGGATAATAACATCTTGTCCCCTTGCCAACATGGATTTCGGAAGGGATTGTCCACAACAACGCAATTGGTTATAACTATCCATGATTTTATGGCAGTTTTAGATCGATCAGGGCAAACTGATATACTTCTACTCGATTTTTCTAAAGCGTTTGATAAGGTTCCGCATAGTAAATTACTTCTGAAATTACGTAACATAGGATTGCCGCTTTATCTTATTAAGTGGGTTGAATCTTATTTAACTAATAGAAAACAGTTCGTCGAAATTAAATCTAGTGTATCTGGGATGCTCAATGTCACTTCTGGTGTGCCACAGGGAAGTGTGTTGGGGCCACTATTATTCCTTATATATGTAAATGATTTAGTGCAAGCAATCCCTGACACAGTGTCTATTAAGCTTTTCGCGGATGATTGTGTTGTGTTTAAAGAAATAACCTGCTCTGACGACCATAACCTATTACAGCAAGCTCTTCGCAACATTGAATGCTGGTGCGCAGCATGGGACATGGAATTAAACGTTGATAAAACAGTGCTCATAAATATAACGCGAAAAACAAATCCTAGTGTGTTTACCTACAATATTCATGGCTCACCCATTCAATCGGTAACGCAGTATAAGTATTTAGGGATCACTCTTTCAAGTGATATGACGTGGCGAGCACACATTTCGTCAATATGCACTGCAGCTTTTCGGAAGCTGTGCTTTTGAAAAGGAAGCTTGCAAAGGCAACTGTGAATGTTAAACTTCAAGCGTATAATGCAATTATCAGACCTAAATTGGAGTATGCGTCCGTTGTATGGGATCCGTACACGAAAAAAAGACATACAGAGCTTAGAAGCGCTACAAAAGAAAGCCATCAGATTTATATTCAATAAGTACAAAAGACTAGATTCACCAACTCAACTCATGAATGCTAATAACATCCCCACCTTGGCTGTCCGCAGAAAAATCAGTCGACTTAAATTCTTGCGCAATATTTTTAACGGAAAACTTGGTATGTCTGCACCTTCATATTTAAAGACCACTACAGCGAGAACTACGCGCAACGCTCACAAACACACCCTACAACACATTTTTGCCAAAACAGAGGCACTCAAACAGAGTTTTTTCCCCCGCACTGTCTCGGATTGGAACAGTCTACCTAAGTTCGTTTGCGAGGCAGACGATTTTGACGAAGTCCTTGAGCAATATTTGTGTTGTATTGAACATTGAATCATTGTAACTGTTATATTGCTGTTATGCTGCGTTATAAACTTTTATATTGCTGTCATATTACTGTTAAACTGTTATGCTACGAGTGTTGTGATATATGCTTGCGCTGCCAGTGTTGTTATCACTGATTTCTGTATTCTTTTTTTTCTGTAATTCCACTCCTGCCTGGGCCATGCTGGCCTGCAGTATTGTGAAATAAATAAATAAATAAATAAAAAGCAATTCAAATCACACAATGCCGTGTTCCTTGAGCATGTTAGAAGCTATCACAATACGCTGAACTTCGCTGGTGCCCTCGTAGATCTCGGTGATACGGGCGTCACGGTAATGCCGCTCAACCGGCATGTCAGTCACGTAGCCCATGCCACCTAAAATTTGCAATGCCTAAAACGAAAAAAAGAAATGCGGCAATAATGAACTCGAGTAAGCTAATGGTTCATAAGCTTTTATGCATCAGTAGAGACAGTTATAAGGACTATTCCTGCAGTTGCAACACAGAATGCTAAACGGGAATGATTGCCTTTCAGTGATGCAAGTTGCCTGGGTTCTGCAAGCATAGGATAGCGTAAATCACTGCTTGGCATTGTTGCCAACTGCATGCAGCAAAACAGTCCATATTAGAACTTTATGAGGTACTTACAAAGCTTTTCAAAACAAATGGAACTGGAGGTCGAAAATTTGGCAGATCCCACGTACCTTGGGAATCGATGTTATGCAAAGCATGTGAATGGAAGGTTGTGTAGTTTTTTTATTGAGCAGAACGTTACAAAGAGGGGCTAAAGATATGCACAAATGCACACACAGACACATTAAACTGTCGCATATGTTTCATATAACCTGCTGTTGACAGTTACATAACACTGCCGACAATAACATGAACATTAGCAACACCAGAAGTGGTAAGCTGGAGTGAAGTGCTGGTGCTCACGAGGATGGCAGCCCTGGACACTGCTACACAAGTCAACTGCAGCGAATGGCGTTCAACTGCAACTGATGTTAATCCAACGCGATGGCTGTATCATAGAAGTATGTAATGTTTATAAAATTGGATAGCCAGCACTTCAACCTCAATTGACATTTTACAAACGTAAGGGTCTATTTGAAAAGTACTTCCGAGACCTGGCGTGGCTCCGTGGTAGAATTTACCATGCAGAATGCTGGGGTTCGATTCCCACTGGAACCCTGACATTTATTCTTTGCATTCATGAGGTCAACGCTGCCAATGTCAACTTTTAGTTAACGCTCGCACGTTAAAATTACCCATGTCTGTTCTCACCGTTTGTGGGTAAGACGAAAAACGCCAGGCCTGCGCGGTAGGCGCAGCACAGTTACAGCGGAAGCTAGAAGAGTGGCCTTTGAGAGCCTTTTCTGAAAACTCATTGGGTAAATACTGCAAGCACACATGCTTGATGCCCACTAGGTCATTATTAATAAATTTATTTGGGTAGTAGGCCGGCAATCGCTATGCTACTTTTCGTCATTCTTCTGAGAAGTGTGGTACCCGCTAAACACTTGCAAGGAATTTTGTGCCAATTTTTCATGCAGTGGCTGACGACGATGAGGAATTATGGCTGAAGTGGGTATGCGCCACAGTTAAGAGGGGAGCAAGAACAAGGTTTTGTGATGGGTTGGAGCATTAGACGGCCCACTCGTTACCCTATTTGCAATGTGCAAGGACTGGTTGTTCTTTCGCTGTTTCAAAATGCTTTATAAGTCGTATTAACGTGATTGATCCCCCGACATCAAGCTTGCTTAAGGCAAGTTTGACAGCTAGTCACAAGAACCGGTGTAGCTCAGTGGTAGAATACTGGGCTGCCACCCAGCGGACCCAATTTTGTGCTCCACTGTGCTAGGTTTTTTTTTCTAATTTCGCGCGAGGTGGTTAGGGACACCAGCGGTGGCGGCGGACAACTGCGCGTAGTTCGAGTTGTGATCTCATAATAGCTTTCGCTGTAAAACTGTCCATCACCTGTGGCACATACTCGCGTACCTGTGGGCCGTGGCACATACCTGCCCCTCAGGTATGTGCCACATGTCTGGGAGAAAGGGTTTGACGACATACAGGAAGGGATCCTGACATTCTTGTCATGACCAGCGAGTCATATTCGTCAGATGAACGTACCCTCTATAGTTATTTTGGTTTGCCCCAAGTTAAGGGGTTGATCACGAGGGCGCCCAGATGTAGGCGGCTAGATTAGATTGGAGCAGGCAGGCAGGCAGGCGGGCGGGCGGGCGGGCGGGCAGGCAGGCAGGCAGACAGACAGGCAGACAGACAGACGGGCATACAGAGGAATGGGCAGAGGGACAGACGCTCAATGTGCCTAAAGTATGCAAAGAAATGCTTTGCAATTAAAATGGAACAGATGTGATCACGAGAAATAGAATGAATTTCCATGAAGCCAACCTTCGCACAAATAGTTGAAACTCATTTCGACCCTTGCAAAAACAAGTTTTCATGCCATAATGAGGATTTCAGAGATCTCTTTGTTCAATCACTGTGAATAACTTCCAAGTGCACACTTGCCCTGTATGTTAAACAGCCCTGCCTAGCACAATATTAATTTGATTAGAACGAGCCTTCTACTGTTCTGCCAAGGTTGGCTTACCTGATGTGCCACGAAGGTTGCTGCCTCCGAAGCAGCCAGTTTTGCCATGGCAGCCTCCTGCAAAGACGGCAGGCAACGCATAGACGCTTTGCGACAACAAATGACCGATTTCCCAAGCGTAGGACATATGTCAAAAAGTAGCATTCAAGGCATATCGTTCTTTGCGGAAAAAACAAAAATAGCATTGCCAAGCATTGTCAAGAAAATATTCTATCGAGCTGTTGTCCTCCTTAGACCCATTTCTTGTACTTTGTAAATGCAAATTCGCACGTACAGTGAAACCTCGATATGATGAACACGATTGATTGATTAATTATTTGATTGATATGTGGGATTTGACATCTGAAAACCACCATATGATTATGAGAGACACCATAGTGAAAGGCTCCAAAAATTTCGTCCACCTGGGGTTCTTTAACGTGCACCCAAATCTGAGCACACGGGCCTACAGCATTTGCGCCTCCATCGAAAATGCAGCCGCCGCAGCTGAGATTCGCTGCGGCGACCTGCAGGTCCATATGGCGAGCACGGATATAACAAAATGTCAGTTATAACTAGGCTTCTGCGGATAGTGAATTTCAGGTTCAAACAAATTCGAGGCAAATAGTGATTTTTGTTCAATAACTTCAAATTGCATTTGAATAGTATATATTACATAAAAAAATTGGCATATTTATCATGACCTAACTAACCAGCACAATATTTTTTAAAAATTGAAATAGGGCCTCTATGGAAATGGCATGTTTTGTTTCATTCAAAGGAAGTCGAAAAAACTTCGAGCAGTAGCAGGATTTGACTTTCAGCAGGATGCGAGTCGTAACTCTTAGAATACCTAACATTTTAAAATTTATTATACTTAGAGCATATAAGCTGCCATAACTAGCTTTTAAGTTTAATAAGTTGAATTGATTTGAGAGTGATATTCTCATTTAAAATGAGCGATGCGACACTTTTTCAAGTAGCCACAAAACGTATTCACTGAAGAAGCTTATTGCCTCATGAATTCACCGCCTCAAATATTTTTAGAATCCGTCCAGTATGCACGGAGTTGCGAAGATTTCTCGCACTCTGCAAGTGCACTAGCTCTTCTCGTCCTGAAGAAAGCGCTGGAAGTTAATGGAAGCTAAGCAGGGAGAGATGGCACGGGGAAAGAAAATAAGTCAAACGTGCTTTCTGAGCTTGTGGAATCATTTGCCAAGAGAAGAGAGCAATTTTTGGCTGAATAAAAATTTATTGCGAATCGCACGCAGCGTGCTGCGCTATAACATTTGGCTTGCCTGTCCTCAATAGCCTCAACTACCGATCGGCAGTGTTTTCTAAGAATGCTCGAAAAGTGTTGCAGGGCCCTTTTAAATTTGAAGGAGGGCTTCGCGGCAGAGCGGATTTCTCCTGAACAGCTTGTATCATAGTTGAGCACCCCTATAATGCAGTGAAACCACCTTTACAGGCAGTACATTTGAATTAATATGCTTTTAGTCGTTCCTTGCGAATACTTCGAAATTTTCAATAACTTGAATTTCGAATCGAAGCGAACTCGAATACCCTACTATTCGTTCGAATATTTGAAGCATTCGAATATTCGCACAAGTCTAGTTATAACGAAATAAATGAAGAGTAGTCTTGCAATGAGTTCAGTGTTAGGAATATACCTTTAGAACAAATTTCTGCATATAAGAAACATTTTCATTTAAGATGATTGTAACGAGGTATGAGTGTATTACAGCAAAGGGTGAAGCAAAGAGTGTGCACCGGTGCATCGCCTTCACGCGGCACACCCACAAAGCGTGACGTTACACATGCACCACTGCCCACAATAACGATATAGCCATGTGATGCGTCAGTGACACTTCCATGGGATGGAAAAAGGCTAGTGCTGAAGCTTTTCAAGGTTATCAGCAATGCTGGTATACATGGATGTGCCTAATATAAACCATATGTTAAAAATATCATATTATTATAACAACACATATCATATTCATTAATTTCCCCACCACATGTATGAAAACATTAAGAAAGACTATAATCGACAAGCATTTTCTCAAATTGTGTAAGCTATCCTACCTATACAATTTATTGTGCCAAGGTTTGCATGTCATGTAGCAATCCATTTATGATTACTTTTTCTAATCATAACTGATGATTTATGACACCGCTATACCTATTAGTAGGTGGATATTTTTAGACGCCAGACAGAATGGGCACAGAGTCTTGAGGACGTTTATACTGTGTCCATGCAACTTTCACTTAACGTAACAAAACCCACCTTTGTGAACTTATGGCCAGCGTCTTTCAACATAGCCGCCCTCCACATTAGCAGGCGGGCACTTTGTAACCGCACTTCCATGTCTGCCAGTTTCAACTAGAGAGGAAAAAAAGTACAAAATAAGCTATTTAAGAAAAAAAATAGTTTCGAACTGCAGTCAAAAACAACTTTAGCCTGAGAAAAGTATAGTCTAATGAATGCACCAAATAACAAGCCTATGCTTATTATGCTGGTGTCTTTGGCAACACCACTTGCAGTGACGTGATTGACCGGAAGCGCTTTGGCACAGCTTGTCACGCATTTCGGAACAAAACTCAGTAAGTTGTTAAGTGGCAGTGATTTCACTATTTTTTAATAAGAAAAAGTGCAACGTGCACGCATACACACAAACCTCGATATAATGAACCTGGATATAACGAAGTATGGTTTATAACGAAGTAAATGAACAATAGTATTGCAATAGCTGCAGTGTTCTAAATGTACTTTTATAACAAATTTTTGGATATAACAAAGTTATTTTCATGTGAAATGCATCTACTTTGTTATAATGAGGTTTGGGTGTAGATGTATATTTATATATTGATTATTACAAAAAGTGAAATGAGCTCAATGCTTCTCGAATGCCAGTGGAAAGCCCTAAATTTCTATATATTCAGGACAGCCCTGAAACTAAGAAGGGTGTGGTGAGGGACAAGAACAGGGGTACACTTATCTCATTATATAATGGGGGGGGGGGGGAGTATTAAAAAATTAAAATGGCTGCTTCTCTCAAATAGTCAAAGCCCTCAAAAGAAGAAGAAAAAACAAAAAGTATTTCCTGGATGTGAGCCTGAATCGTGACATCGGGATGTCTGACATTTCTTTGCACTTCACTTCTCATAATTGATATTCAAAGTAGCTTTCTGTCATGCCTCAAACTGCATGAATTTTCCACTCATATTCTTTTTACTATCGAAAAGAACTAGTACTAGGATGACATCATTGCTTTTAATACAACCTAGGCTTTCGAGTTTCATGGCGGAGTACGTGCTCTGACATGCTTGTGGGGTACTTTGCTCGTTAGCAGTTAATAAAATAGAGGACATAATAAATAATTGGTATGTTGCAGCCTAATTCCAAGGGTGCAGGGCACAAAAATTGGGAGAATGAAATGCTACACATTTCATTCATGCCATCTTCATCAAATCGCACTGGCGTGCTGTTTCGTCTGATCATCTTGGCTTCTGGGTGCCCCGGTGAGCACAAGTGCAATTGATCGAAGATGGCACAAGATAGGTCTTCATAACTGAAACTTTTGCCGAAGTCAAGAAGCAAGATTTCATGGGCCAATGCAGTGGCTGGAAGTGTTGATAAGTCAAGATCATTACATGGTATTAAAACTGAAGTGCCGTGCATGACATGTTTTGAAAGTGAAAAGAATAGCACTACAGTTTCTTGCAAATTACGCTGACTAAAACAAAACGTTCCAAGTAAGTACATAAACATACTGCTTACTCTAATTAATGTAATCAGTTTTTATAAATAGAGCTGGTGTCTCTCAAGAACTTTTAATTTCACAAATTATTAAACTTTTATCTGACGCCAAAACATCCAGTAGCTATTTTAGTCAACTTGAGTAAGTAATATAAGAGTACATAATCACAGAACATTATCACATATGCGATAGCTGGTGCTATTTGGAACAGCTCCCCCTTCATCTTTCTCGACTGAAAAACTCAACATGCAGATTTAACGTCTGACAAGCAGTAGAGACCTGAAATAAGTACAGTCAAGTCCGCTAGTAACGAACGTGAGCCTGACGCGGCATCCATTCGCTGTATCCCGAAGTTCGTAGTAAATGAAACACAGCTTTTAAAAAAGTTGCGGGTGAATAAACAAACTTTTTTCACCCAAAAAGTCCGTGACGCACGTGTTTCGAAAAGCAGAAGTGATAAGGGCGGTCTCGAGTTCATTTAAAATGGCAGGGTGCTCGTTCACCGAGCTGCATGAGGCACTGGCTCTAAAGTATTGTCGTTCTTGCAATCCAATTCCTCCAAATTGCTCTCGCCACGTAATTCATTCACAATGCCCTAATCCGTGCACGGTTCCACAGTAGTCGGCATCATCATCAGCCGTAATTAAACCATCGCAACAGATGTCCCACCTGCTCTCCCAGGTCGGAGTTGACAACGCACTGCCACAAATCGCCGCCGGAGTGATCCTGTTCGGAAACTTTCAGGCTCGGATCGCGCCTGACGACTGAAGTCGGCCTCGCGAAAACAGTTTAGCGCGCACTGTAGCCGTCACCGCCACCCGGAAAATATTCACCATCTCCACAGCTGAATACCGGGGACCCCCAAAGCGACAAACTGGGCTGCCAGGTGGTCAACAGCTATGAGCAAGCGCTTCGCCAACACGGCACCTAATGCACGGATTACGCTCAAGCCAAGCTGTCACACTTTCGACGTTTTGTTGAGTGGCAGAAAAAAGCGTGCAAGTCGGTAGAGCGCTGACTCCATTTGCTGTAACCGATCAGCGGCGCTCTGAGACGTTTGTTGTAAGTGCGATTTTGTGCCTTTGAACCAATGTATATTTTCACGGTCACGCGGATATTGTTTGTTTTAGTTGAAAGTTCGTTTTAAGTGGGGCCGTTATATGTGGGCTCGACTGTATTGTGAACAAGAAGCATACCTATGGCAGCACATAACTGCACACGTACCGTATTTACACGATTGTAAGACGACTCGAATGTAAGACGACCCCCCCAAAATCGCATCTCAAAAAAAAAAAGAAAGAACGCACGCATTTTACACAAGGGAAATTTATTCACGTGGTTGCGGAGGATTATTCATCGTCGCTGGAGTCGTCCTCGCTGGTGCTGCTGCCGTCATTGCTGCTGCAGTCCCACAGCACGTCGTCGTCAAGTGTGAGTCCACACTTCGCGAACGACCGCACCACGGCATCGCGTGGGACGGCCGCCCATGCGGAGAGGACCCACCCGCACGCAGTAGCCAGGGAGGCTCTCCTCACACGCCCGTAATAAATAAACAAGCTGCCCAGTGACGACAGATAGGCAGGCCCTTTTTGACATGTTCTCTGGGCAATGTGGCACAGAGCAACCAGCTGGCCTACCCCAGTGTGTCTGAGTGAAAAACAAAAAAACAAAACAAGGATAAGAGGGCTTTGCAAGCGCACTGTGCCACGAGAACTTTTTCAGGGCCAGTTCTATGCACCGTTTCAGCAGCGAACACACCTATCACGTCAATATCATGCCCTCCAGAACCAGCCACACCTATCGCATCGATATCCTGCTCTGTGCTATGGTAAGCGGTGACGTCGGAGAGCAAGCGCCAACGAGATGCCAAGCTGATAACGCAGTGTGAGTGAGAATATTTAGAGGAGTGTTTGCTTACACTTGTTCTGAAGGTTGAAAAGCACCACTGAAAGAGTGTACCGATGAGCGTAATTGAGGGAAAAAATGAGAATAAAAAAAGAGTATGAATGTGACAGCAAGGCTTTGCTGTCACATTAATATAAATGCTGCTAACAGCTACAACACTGAAACAGTTGTTGCATTAATGGGCCAGGAATGCATGCAGGCAAACTAATTTTCACGAGCTTGCGCCCTTCCCGTTGGCTTCAACGCTGCTGCAAGAAACAAGTAAGAGGGCCACAAAACCCGTCTCCCTGAAGGGAACCCCGATGGATTGTGAAGCAGCTGCGGTGAGCACGGCGTTGACCCAGCCGAAATGGGCGTCGACGCGGGTGCTGAAAGAACGGTTTGAAGCGAAGCCGAGTAAACGTTTGTTTGAAACGCAAAAACACGGGAGGCAAGATGCGTTAAAGATGCTTGCCCTCGGCTTCCTTGGCTTGCGTCTTGTCCATGTTACCCGCGCGCCATCAGTATTTCCGAATGAGATTGATGTTTTTGACTCGCATCTCGTACGTGTCGCTGGTTCTTCCACTGCCGACGCTTATGTTTGGCTTTCCGGCTCGCGCCTCATCAGTGTTGATGTCGCCATTCGCGAACACAATCGGCTTCGCTAACCCTTGCAACGGCAGCAACAGCCCGCAAAGATACGCGCGCACTAACGGGAAGCATGCCACGCCGGCGTCCCGACTGTCAGCACGATCGCACAGCAAGCAGCGGCACACTGTCCACATTGCTGATGCCATGAGATTCTCAACGCCCGTGCAGCGAGCGCACCAGCCAGCTAAGGGCTTCTTTACACCGACAGATGGAGAGAGGTGGCGCGGGTGAGATGATGCCGTGTGACGAGTGGGCTGAAGCGTTGTGAGCGGTGAAGAGGGCGAGAGACGTCACCATGCACTGCTAGGAGGGCGTGAGCTACTTGGCACCGCTCCAACACCTGCGACGAGGGCAGCGACGCGAACGAAGAGGCAGCGTTACACAAGCTAGTCAAAGAGCTGCTTCGCATCAAAAACCTGAATGCCGCTGTTAAGATGTGCACAGGAGATTTTTTGCCGTTTTCACTCGACTCCATTACACCAACCTTACAGCTTACCTGAACGGCCTGGAATTTGTGGAGAGGTTGGTTGAAGGATTCCCGCTTGCCAGAGTACTCTATTGCACAGTCCAAGGCTGCTTGGCCAATCCCGAGTGCCTGGCCTGCAATGCCGATGCGACCAGCGTCTAGAACACTCTGCGAAAAGTGGGGAAAAGAGAGATTCTAGGCCATTATGTCATTCGGTACTGATGGCAATTATTTTCGCGCAAACCAATACTGCACAAGCGAGGGAATGCTCTCAGTAAGCCCAGCAGGCGCAGAAACTTGGTACTACAAGCCTACTGATAACGACAACCTTTCTTGCTTTAAAAGAAAAATATTACCAACTACAATATCAGACATCAAGATTTGGTGCTGTTTGTACCAATTGCAAGCAAGTAAACAATCTTGCAGATGCACAGTATAACTTTGTTAATACGATTTTGCATGATACGTTTTTCGGCCTAATACGTTACTTTTTTTTTTCTCCCAGTCAATGTCCCTTGGAAATTACTCATTTCCCTGCATTTAATCTGATCACGTTTTGACTAAAGTGACATACAGTTACAGTTGCAGTGTGACTGCAAAAATAGATTCCGATTTGCCATTTCACTTTGCATGAGGAGTTCACTAAAGCCACATGCTCCAAATAACAATGACTGCCAAGCTCTCATGATGGAAGGTATCATTTTAAGAAGCACATTTTTTTCCACATAGATGTTCATTAACTTATATCCTTTGAAATGCGTTTTTCTCAAGATCCATTTTTGGACGACTTCTTGAGTTAAGACATCATGTTTTGAGTACTTCTAATTGACAATGTGGGATAAAACTTCGCCCAAATATTTATTACCATGTCAAGAGCGGAAGTATATTCTTTTAAACTTGATATTGCATATATAATTATTACGAACTTACAGTAATTTTTATGCACTTTCTTGATAGTTATTCAGCATTCTACAGTTAATGTCGAGCAATATCAGCCATTAATAGCTCAGGGCTATAGCAGCTGAATGGTATAAAAAGTTTGTCCAAAACTAACTATACTTTACAGATTGTCATGGCACAAAACGAAAACTGTACAACTTACTATGGAACTAATTACATATTTTAAATCAGCCTAAAAGCGTATATACACAAGAAAAATTTCATCGCTCTAGACTACAGATTAGCGAAACATTTTTTTAATCGCATTTCTCTTTAACATGCACCTAAATTTAAGTGCACGGGCCTTCAAACATTTTTGCCTTCATTGGAAATTCAGCCGCCGCAGCTGGTATTTGATACCGTGACCTTTGGGTTAGCAGTTGAGTGCCCTAACCACTAGACCACCACAGCGGGGCTATCCGATTTCGGTTAATTGCAAGTGAACTCACCATGGCGATCTTGAAGCCGGCTCCATCTTCACCCTAGCCGATTCTCCTTCGGCACAAGGCAGTCTTCGAAGATGAGCTGGGCCGTTGACGAGCCCTTGATTCCCAGCTTGTCCTCCTTCTTGCCCAAGCTCAGACCAGGTGACGGCATTGGCACAATGAAAGCATTGATTCCTTTGTGCTTTTTGGACTTGTCCACGGTGGCCATCACCTGTGTGCATCGACCAGCTTGCTGCTTTAAATCACCTCTACACTTCAACGTTGCCGCGCAATGCTCTCGGTTTCACTCCTCAAAAAGCACAAGTTATAAAATTCGAATAAAATAGAAGACCTTATAAGTAATAAGGGATTAGGTATTTCCGAGGGAAGATGTGATTTTGCTTCCAGGTTTTTACCCCATCCCTGGCTACGCCACTAGCTGGTGGCAAGCCTGCGAGAACAACAGGCTAAATGCCGTCACACTCATTTTGTGACATCAGTTTCTGCAGCCGGCTTAAAAAGTGGCTTCCCACTTCAGAGAGGGCTGCCGAATTCTAGTCTATAGAAGAGCTGTATGCCGTGACATTGGCAGGGGGGGCCCTACTGTGCTGTTAGCAAGGTCGGCAGGATCCACAAATTTCTTTGCACCAACATAACTTTGATAAGCACTTGTAATTGTAATCAGCGCTGTCATGACAACATGAAATTGCTGCAAATCTTTTTTTTTTTTCGAAGCATGATATTACTGAACACTCCTGTTAAACCAATACAAATTTTTTTCCGTAGGGTGAGATAAGCAATAATGACCTGGCATTTGATACATCTCAAGTGTAACAGTGAAAAGGATCTCAACACATGCATAGCACTACAGTGGAACCTTGGCAATGTGATCATAGCTTGTACAAATTTCCGGGTGACAAAATTTATTTTTCCTTTTTTTTTTTGTGGCCTTGTTTAAAGCCGCTTAGCCTTCAATGTAATAGAGTACATACAGTCGATGTGAATCAATCTTCACCCAGTGGCGTTTGATACAAACATTCGCAACCGCACAAGCACGAGCAGGTGCTGTCCATGCTGTCGCAAAAGACGTGGCAATAGTGCACGTACATGGAAACCCGAGCATCAGCATGAGCACCACACTGCCATTCAGTCAGGTCGGCGCATCTTAGTATCAGAGACTGATATTTGGATCATGAATTCCTTAATGCGCTCAATTCGTATGCCTTCCCATTTAGGTTACTGATGGCATTGGCATAGCACTTTTTTTTCTTTCCAACACGTTGATGCGTGCTGCTGCGCTTGAACCAACGCTGTCATACTGTGCTTACACGTGCCTGCCAAGTTGACGAAAGCAATGTCCTTGTGATCAGACACCTTACGAAATGTGGACACAACAATCGAAAGGGGAAAGGAGCAGTCTTGTTGAAATAACTAAGCATCGCGACGTCAACATGTATGATTGTCGGGGATGCAGATACCTGGCAACTCCCGAATTTTCATGAGTGACTCCGGAATCTTGACCGAACCTCCTGATTGTGTGGGCACGCCCACAAATCTCCCAGGAAGTATTTCGAACAACACCACGATAAAAAGTAACGAATGAAGGTGGTGAAAAAATCTTTTGGCCTATATTTATTGCGTGCAAAGCGCTTCTCAAGGCACCTTTGCCACACTACCCTGGCGTCATGTGAAGAATTTTACTAAGATTTGCAAAGGGCTACTAGCTGTCGCGGTTCACAACACATCTGGTTCATTAGTTACACATGCGTACACATGCCATACACTTACGAGCAGAAGTATGATTTTTGACGACTAAGGACTATAGTGGTGATCATTCAAAGCCTTTCAAGATATTGCTGCGGCCCTGGAAAACAACAAATGAAAATATAGGCGAAGTTTTTCTTGTGATGTAATGATTTTCCATGCTTTCTGGTCATACGAATTTCGGATAATACAAAAATTTTTGGCGACCCTGTGAGATTCGTATTACCAAGGATTCTTGCTATATATAGTGTTGTAGTTATGCATCAGATATTTAATGTAATACTGTTCAACGTAGATCCAAATTCTTTATGTCTATGTTTGACCTATTGAGGGGTAGACTGCAGCACAATCATCACTCAACGCCGAGACATTCAGATCCCCATTAAAACATATCTACTGTGTGGTACCACGACAATGACACAGTACAGTCTCCTCATTTATTGTAGACTTTATGGCATAAAGCTTCAGCTAATAAAGAGATGTTTAAAAATGGCTATAAATTTCTTTGCGTAAAGGCTAACAAACTCATTGCTTGTTTTGGAAATGCATTATACAGTAGACAATCAACAGACAGGAGTTTTTTAAATGGAACTGCTAAGTGAATGAAACAACCGCTTCTAATGTGGCAGATCTTGTACTTTAATTCTACACTTTTATTCATACCTTAATACAGGGAAATCCTGCTAAATGCAACAAATGGTCTAGTCCCCTCAGGTTCCATTTAAGGAGAGCCTATTGTCTTGTAGCATAACTTAACCAGAACACTTACAATAGCTGCTTCACCCTCAGTATGCATTCGTTATCCAAGCCTTGGTACCGTTCAGCCTATAATGGTCCCCTTCCAGAACCGCGGTTGTAGAAGCTGCTCCCGCATCACTGCCATTGCCTAGAAGGAATATACGCATGAACAGCAATGAAATACGATGGCACAATTAGCACGTAAAGCAACGGTGCTCCGAGTTTCGCCTAACTAGGACTACAAGGCATGCGTCCCTGAGAAAGTCTTAAGAGGTGCCGAATTCTGCATACCAGAAGCAAATATAAAGTGGGCAATCCACGCGAGATCATCAGGCTTAGTGCAGAAGATGATGGCTCGCTATCATTTTTATGGCAGATATTGAGGCACAAAGAGTGCTGTGAAGTGTAGCTGTAATGTGGCTTCAGCCACTACAGATCGAATTTATCACACGATAACTTTCCAGACAATTAAGATGCTCACGAGCGTGAGTATAATTTTCATAATCGAAGCAACATGCCTCTATGTACGGGGTCAACCATATCTAAAGTGAGCACTTCTCTAGTATTCCAACTGGTAACACTAAAGCTTACACTTCACAGAGCAAATATCTGTCATGTGATGTCAAATAATGGTGTCCATAAACAACTCTATAACTTTCCGTATGGTATAATAAACATCAGCTCCTATAAAGCTTTGTTCACCCTACATTTGGCCGACCCTGTATATGCTGCATCAACTGCTTAAAGTGGTTTTCGGTCAACTGCTAAGAGCCCCACTGCTATCCTCCATATGGCAAGCATACTATTGTGTCAAGCTAAAAAATTTGAAGGACCCTTGAGTTTCACATTCAATTTAGAAGTTTAACATGATAGCAATATCTGAATGCATGCACACACTATCACCTTAGACTGCCTTCGCTTCTCAAGCTGCAAAGAAAGCTAAAGTGAAAATGCCCTCCAGTTCCTATATTTATTTGAATCTACGTATCTGGAATTGTCACTCACGGCCAATGCTACTTTTACACTCGCAACTAGAGGCACAACCACTAACACCACCGACACTGACACCGGAGTTCTTGTGAACTTGTTCTTCGATGCTATTGCCTTAATATGACATCCAGTAAAGAAGTGATAGCTGTGGAGGTAACATGTGCTTTTCCACCTCTTTCTTAGCATTCAATATAAAAAGAGTAAAAGCCAAAAAAAAGCTTTATGTGTCAGACGATAGCTATAGTGCGAGAATAAAACGACGACACAGAGACAAGAAGGACACGAGACCTGTATGTCAACTACCATAGAGCAGGACGCTCCCGATTAATTGTGACTATTCGGTATCTTTTTCATGCATTTTGTCCTGTCCGATTTTCATGATGACTTTTCGTTATTAAAGCAAGCACACTCACCAGGTTCAGAGAGGGCGAAGCAGCCAACTTTCTCTCCTGTGGTGAACGGTGGAATGAATTTCTGTTTCTGTGCTTCAGAGCCGTATTTGAGTATGGCACCTAAGTACAGAGACTTGTCCCAAGAAAAAACAAATCAACCCCCCAAAAATTAGAAAAAGTCAGAAGGTATCGAAAGCAACCGTCTTATGTTAAATAGGTTATACAACTGTCATTGAGGCTTTTAGTTCCAAGGAATAAAGAGGCATAATCTGAACTAGTAAGTTACACTTCTACATAATTAAACAGCCTATCAGTATAGGCTTGTCGAGTCGGTGAAAGTGCAGTACACCGTCAGTGACTCAACATACACACTGCCATATGAAGCTAAAGAAAGCAAAGGCAAATACTTACCTACTCACTAATTGAAGTGTGCAGTGCTAATTAAAAGAGAAAGGAAAATCGGAGCATATCAAGCACCCCGTCCAATAGGTGATGCTGAACAACAGCCCACAAGAAATGACCTTTAACAGCATCCAGTGAAGACTACAATGATTATTTGTTGGCAAATGAATGCTGCTCTGCATTCGATATTAAAAGAATACCATAAAAAATTACAGAACAAAAAAGAAGAAAAAGCTGGAGCATCAACCGCTAGTAGTAACTCTTGTAACAAAAGAAAATTCTATTAGAGCCAAGCCAGCAGCTTCTTATCTGACGAATTCAAGTGGCCATTTCAGAGAGCTTTCAGAGTGCATCCAGTGCTAGGAGTCTTTTTTTCCTTGAAGGCGTGTGTATGTGTGCATGTGAGAGAGAGAGAAAGAGGGACGGAGAGAGAGGCAGGCTCGTGGAACTGGGTTCTCCTTAAAATTTAGTTAAAAGAGCTAGCCCTAGAGTGCTCCCATGTACCTCCTTGACTTCAGTAAGCACTAGGCACACCAACTGTTTGGTAAAAAATAAAGCTGCATTACACACTGAAGAGACACCAGTAGCATTATATTACCTTTACGAAGCACTAAGCCCATGCCTATTATCCTGATCACACTTTAAGTTTCTTTGTCCAAATGTTTTAACAGTGTTCCTGATGTGAAACAGATCTAAGCTCTGTTTGCGGTTTTCTTCTTAAACAACAGCTGACAAAGCTGACTGATTTGTGGGGTTTAATGCACGAAAGCCGCCATATGACTATGAGAGATGCTGTAGTGGAGGGCTCCGAAAATTTTGACCTCCTAGGGTTCTTTAACGTGCACCCAAATCTGAGCACATGGGCCTACAGCATTTTAATCTCCATCGAGAATGCAGCCACCAAAACCGGGATTCAATCCCACGACCTGCAGGTCAGCAACCGTGTACCAGCAGCCGTGTAAGTCACCGCTGTGGGGAGCTGACAAAGCTCTTCAGCTGCCACTGTCTCGGGTATGCACACAGTTCAAGCAGTTTCCTAGTCACTCCATAACGCACAGTCATCACAGAGACTAGACACACAACTCGAACATTCAAGGTTTGCTCACGTTGTTAACGCTCATAACGACCCCCGTGGAGGCACAGCCTCGGCTGATCTCTTCCATTCCAATAGCGTAGGCTAGGTAGTCCAGGCCTGCTCCACCCAGTTCAGTTGGCACGGCTACGGCCATAAGACCCATTTCACCCAATTTCTTGACCTGAAAACAAGAGAAGACTATTAATCAGTGGCACGAGCATTGAGCGACACTCTTGTTCCTTATTCCAGCACTTGCTTAAGACTGACTATTTTAGAAAAATACCTATTTTTATGGCTTATTTTTGGTAAAATACTCCCTCCAGTATATTTATTCCGCTATGGGCCTGCTGAACGTACAATTAAAAATCGACTAGTGTGATAACATGGTTCACTTTTGTGTTATACTAATTGCTATTATTATGACGAGGGGATCAAGCATATTCTTTAGTTATTTTATTCTCTCTTTACTCAATTGGTTATTTATTTTGAATAATGTCCAACACACTGATGGCCTAGGGTGACTGTAAAGAAGTGATCTGAGTTGATTTTTATTGCTAACCACCCCGCCTACAGTTGCGGTTGCCATGCTACATATTATTACTGAAAGTAAAGACCATTTCAGATGTGAGCCATGAATGTGTACAGTTCTGCACTTAACTTGGATAGCTGGCATAACTTGCTTCACTTTAATGCACAACCAGAAAGCAACTAAAATGGCAGGTGTTCATTGTAGACAGCTTAGAAAAGAAGTGAATTGTCAGGGAGGAACTTTCCACTCGTAAATATACCCCTGTGCCCTTAGAAGCATGTGGAGGAAACAAAACCTGCTTAACCACCCGTCCCAACTGACACGTTACATTTTTTAACGGCACATAAAAACGGTCAATGAACGCTAAAACTAACCTCCAACACAGGTGGCAAAAAGTTGATTGTTTTCGCTATTTCGAGAGCGTTTCACGGCTCTTGCAAATGAAGCAATGAGGCTGCTGCTTCCTGTGCAACCACAATTTTCCGAGCGTCTAACCTGTTCGCGCGGATACCGATGCTCTTTGTCGATGACTCCGGCAACGGGCTTGAGCTCTTTTTCGGCGAACTCTCTGCATGTCTTGCGCAGCATTTCGTGCGTTTCTGGAAGCTGAACAAAGATGCTCCGGACAGCCTGCCATCCTGCAATGTGGAGGGGAGAGCATAGGTCCAGTGGTGCGGCCACGAGTGAAGGGGTTCAATTCCCCCCTCCTCTCTTTCCCGAGAAAAAAAAAAACAATTCTAGCTACGCCCGTGCACCGGTCACTTGCAATGACAAACGACACGCATTAGTAGACGTAAAACGTTTGAACAGAGGCAAATGTCAGGCTGCAAGAATCCCAGTTTACAGCAACTGGTTTATTTCGAAACAAGCAATTAAAGCGGTCGCGGCCTGGGAATGAACAAATTCGTGCGTAGACAATCCGGTCTTGTGTTTTTGTGCCATCATTCAAATTGAATGTGTCAGTGTGTGACTGATTTGCGTGAATGCACAAGGGTGTAAACAAGTGGGTTGGGGAATGCCTGCACTATAGCGCACCGCATTGCGCGTATCAATTAGAAATGCAGAGTTAGCGTTTTTGTCCTTCCCGTTTGTCATCCTTTTATTTTCTCACTGCTCCACCTTAGAAAGGCAAGACGTCCACCCTTCACGAAAGGCGCAGGATGTAATTAGAAACCTGGTCACACAGAGGACAACGGCCACGACTGAAACATTAAAATCAATACGCGCGGCGTGCAACGCCCTCGTTAATCGCTTTTATTTGCGCAAGGACAATCCGCATTTAAGCATGAACAGCTACTATCTTACACGAACAGATGCAAGGAAAGCCGATAAGCTAAACAAAGATGGCAAATTCAAGGCCGACGGCTTCAACAACCTTTTTCAACAGCTTTTCCATGCTTCTCAGTCGCACCGCGAAAGCTCGTTAAATATGTTTCTTTGTCCTACGCACTAAACGAGCCCAACTTTGCGGCAGAATAGCGAATTTCTAAAGAGCGCGTTAAGGAAAAGCTCACGCGTATGACGGTGTATCACTACGCGCTTCACAACCGCCGAAGTTCGGAAAGTTAGGCAGTAATAAGCTCTTACTGTTGCACCCTCCGAGAGGTCTGGAAAGAACCTTGCGAAGCATTGCCGCCGACATGAGTGACGGCTCTATTTAGAAAAATGAACCGCACTCGTGAGTCACGTCTCCAAGTTTTAACTTGTCTGCACGCACGCACGACACAGAGCTCTTACGCGAAACCGGAAAACCGCTTCACTGCACTGCTCGCCGCACATTGTGGCAAACCGAAAGTTGTGTTGCTACCGTTAAAAACAAAACTAGTCATAAAAAAACCTACAAAACTCGCGATCATTTCAAATAGCAAATAAAACAAAACAAAAAATTATTGCACGCTTGCGTATTTTTTTAAATTAAAAAAATGTGTTTTACTGCTTGCAGTTTTTATAGCTTAAATGTTTCAAAATACAAACAGTAGTCTACAGATGTTTCTGAATGGTATTTGGCTTTTATTTGGTTTTAAATATTGTGCAACGTATTTGTTACAAAACCTAAAAAAATCGGAATAGTTAGTTTCGTCAGTTTCGTAGCTTTGGGTAGTGTCCGGTCAAGTCCAGTTTTTCGATTAAATATGCGTGTGTCGTTGTCGTGCGGTAGACTATTTTCAAAATGTTTATCCTTTCAACCGCGGGCAGCTGTTAGTGCATGCCGAGAGACGCTTCTGAAGGCACACGCAGCGAGTTACAGCACCCAGCCAGGGTACGTAGTCACTTTCAGTGCCGCCTGGTCGTAACTTCTCAACTCTAGCAGCAGACGAAATACGAGACATGTGCGTACACTTAAAGATTCTTAAAAGATTCAAACTCGTTTCAGGTCCAAAGATGTCTCCCTCTCTTTCGCGTCTTACGAATCCACTCAAGCCGAGGATCAGAGGTCGCCGATTATCATCCTCCACGGACTATTTGGCAGCAAGAACAATTGGAAAAGCTTATCTAAGGCGATGGTGAACGCGACGAAACGTAAGGTACGGGGCTCTTCCGTTTAATATGCGAAGTGTTGACTCGCGGAACTAGTGTTGCAAGTTTCGGTTCGAAGTTTGTGCGCGCAATGAGCGCCTGTGCTAATAAAAGTCCATGTATGCAGTTAATGTTGATTTCCGCGATCAGATGCTTGCAACTTCGCGGAGAAGGCCGTCAACGATCATTTGGTCGGAAATGGTGCCGTCTATTTTCGTAAAAGGAACACGTTCGCGTGCCTACGGGGACGGCACATGCCTGTGCTTGTCATCCGCGATCTGAAGTGGTGTTCTAAATTACTTCTCGGGATATGCGACTTTCGGGGGCTTTGGCGCGAACGATCTAATATCGTATCCGCCTTCATGGTAGCACGTTATTTTGATAACATGCTGATGTACTGAGTGATCTGCTGATTTGTGGATGTTTTTGGTATTGTCACGCCGCGCCAGTCCCACTTTACTATGAAGAAAAAGAAAGAAAAGTATGTTGAACAAATAGTGGCAAAATATATTAAGCAGCGCCTGTATTGGCCTCAACAATTCACTATTCCAAAGTGGAGAAGGGGAACAGCCCCGCTCGCTGCACATGATATGTTCACTGCCTAAACAATGTGGACACATGACAACTATACGTTGTGATGTTGCTTCTCTAAGGCCAGGCTGAAGCTAATACGCACAGGTTAAGGGTTGAAGCTAGTCTACCCATGTGCAGTGCTTTTATTTACGCATGTTAATTGGGCTGCTCTGCTCAAGGACAAACATTTGATTCCGAGCCACGGGTGCCGTATTTTGATGCGGGCCAAAGACAGCATTCTTCATAGTTGCATTTCGAAACGCGTTTGCTTCGCGGTTCACGTGAAAGAAACGAAGGTGGTCAGAATTATTACCGTACGCCATCAATACTCACCATTGTATCAGTTATGACTAGCGAAACTGCTCAACTTAACTTTGATGGGTACATGTTCATGCAGGTTTTCGTTCTGGATGCCCGTAACCATGGAGAAAGCCCACACACTGACGAAATGGACTACATACTGATGGCCAATGATGTAGATCTCTTTATCAAGGAGCATAGTCTCGACAAGGTCGGCATTATCGGACACAGCATGGGTGGAAGGACAGCCATGACATTTGCCTTGACGAGGGTAAGAGCTGCGGCTTATGTTTATCCTTAAGCAGATGAAGTTATACCTTGAATTACTCTCTTCTGCTGTTTTCTTGTAAATATGCGGTGTCTTGTAGTGTAATTTTTATTTAGTGGTGAACGCTGGGGTGCTTTGCCATGCCTTGACATTGCACTGTAATGAAAATCAGCTGGAGTCCCTGATTTTGGCCACAGAATACAATTATCAATGATTACAAAGTAAATGCTGCCCTTCTAGGTCAGTAGAATCAACAACAACTTGCATGTAAAATTTAGATTTTTTTTTCCATCAATAAACTATGACATTGCTTTTTATCTTGCATTTGGCTCTCTCATCACAGGAAGTGTTTTGTTTGTTTCTGTCAATAAGTCGCTTTCCAGCAGTAAAGAGTGAAAGGTGCAATTTCAGTTTTACTGGGACTAACACTCTCTCTTGTGTGCCGTATTTACTCAATTGCAGCGCGAACTCAATTTGGATGCAAGGGGTAGTGTTTCACTGTTTCCAGGGGAAAAAAAATGGTCTTTTGGTACTCAATTATAACGCGAGAATCGGCATTAGGTACCAAAAATGTAGAAAAAAACTTGCAGTAGGGTAGAGTAAATATGGTAATGAAAGCATGGCAGAAAGAGGTTTAGGAGGAGGGAAAAAAAAAGAAGGAAAAAATGCTGGGAGGAGAACCGGAAAATAAGCCTCTGGTTGGCTATCTCACACTGGGGGAAGGGAACTAAAAGATGAAAGATGGAGTAGTCATAAAGACGTAAGCTTGTGCCTGTGCTTGAGTAGCAGCACACAGTCCAAGGCGTTTGCACTGACAAGTCACCGTCAAGTAGTATGGAACTGAATTTGCTGCTTACAGGCCGACTAGACATGCAGATAGTGAAGTAGTTTTCTGCATGAAATTTCTTCAGATGTCGCAATGCATCGGAGGGTGTTTGTCTCTGGGAGGACAGTGGCACAATACATTTTTAAAATGTTGCCATCACAGTCGATGGATGCGGCACTATTGTTCATTCCAACTAGTGTAATGTAAGCCTTCGTAGGAAGCGATTCGCAGTTGCAGTTGATTCAGAATCAATCTAGCTATTAATCAGTTAATAATAAACATAGTAAAAAGACAGTAACCTTGACTACTGTTAACAGTAGTCTTTTGCTCTTCTGACACATCTGTACAGCTGTCACTTCCGTCACTCATGTGAGTTGTACGGCTGTTACAGCTGATAACTGTACTGCTCATTTTAGAGTGACAGTACGTTTATATAGATCTCCTTTTTTTATACTTGTATGCTCTAAAAATTATCATTGGTAGCATTGTTTCTAAGCATGTGACTTCCCCGCTTATTTTTGTACATGTAAACTTCGTGCTTGCAGCCATCCATGGTAGAAAGGCTTGTGGTAGTGGATGTGTCTCCAGTTACCATGCCATCCATTGTCGTGCACGACAATGTCCTCGTCAACCACATTAATTCCATGGACACTGTTTTGCCTCAACTCTCTCCAGACATGTCTTCACCAGCAGCTCGTAAGGAAGCTGACCGTATTCTGGCGAATGACATACCCGTGAGTGTTCATTTTGTCTAGAAAGCATGTCTTTAGGCACAGTAATTAATAGGTTATATGAAAAAATACACGTAAATCTGCTTCGTGTACAAAGTCATTTGAATTGTTATCTTGTTGGGATTTTGTGGAAGTAGTGAACTGTGACAAAGGCTGGCCGCTGGCCGCTGACCTCATATATATTTTCATGACGTAGTTTTATGTCTTGCTAGCATCCTCTAGAAGTACAGTGCCGCTATAAAGACCCTGTTACACTTTTTATTTCTCGTCACTGTATTTGCATTCAGATCTACTCTCAGCCTTCGAAAGAACAAAAGCACTTATAAAATTAGTTCACCCCAAAGTAAGTTGCTGGTCACACAAACATGTAGCACTGAGCATAATTATACGCAGGCGAATTCATGCAACTATACTCGCTGAAACTTTTCTTGGCAATGAAGTAAAGGAATACAGAGCCAAATTCGTGCATATGTTACCACTAACGAATATAGTCTCACAATTTAGCTGCACGAGATATAAAAAAATACTCCTTTGTTTCCGACAGGTAGCTCATTGAGACAAGGACACAGCACACACTAATGAAATATTCGTCTTTTTTTTTTTTTACAAGATATGCTGTCACTTTCAGCCTTTGCACAGTGACAGAAAGTCTTGCCTTTCTTGTCACGATCGGACATGGTACTAAATGCTTATTGCACACAGCCGTCACTTTCTACCACGGCATAAATTTGCATCGTAGCGGACTACTTTCTTGCACACGTGCTGTAGAAGGCTTCGCCCTGTAGTTTTCTCTTCATTGCCAAAAAAAGTCAGAATCACACGTGCGGCATGACTGGAAGAGCAAAACAATATTTTAGTGCTTTCAATGTTCCAGTATATGCCATGGCCTTAGTGTAATGCTAGTACCAGTTCACACTGGCAGCAACACTTTATAATGCTTTGCATAAGAATGACATTTTGTTAACACGTTTTCCCGTTCTATGAGTGAATTGTCAAAAAATGCAACGTGTTCACATTTATAAGGCTGCTGAAAATTTACTCAACAGAAGTTACTGAAATAAATTTATATATACTTACTCAATAACACCGATGTGCTTGTTTAGTTTAGTTATGCGCAACGAGATTGCGCCAGGGGCCCAACAACTTGTGTTTGCACCCGTGGTAACCTGGTGTTCTGCAAGCGCTAAGGATGTAGACAAATTGAAACGACGCTAATCGTGAGACATTTCACTGCCTGCTGCACGTGTAATCGTCAGACATTTCACTGCACGTGTAATCGGAGGATGTATGACATAAACTGTTTACAGGTTGTTTTGCTTGACTTTTATTGAATAAACATTAATACATAGGTAATTCTCTGCTAAGGATGGTTTAGTCTCCTACTAGAGCTTGCAGATTCGAAGGAAGGGTGGAAGAAAGAAAGGAACAGGTGAGAAAAAAAAAGGCAGGGATGTCAACCAGTCTAGAAGAACTGTTATGCTATCCTAAACTGGGGAAGCTTGCAGCGATTGCATTTGATGTGTTCTGAATGGTTGTGATGTGTGATAATTTTCGTGTGAAATTGAAAAATACGAAAATATGCTATGAGTAAACTTTTTAGATAAGTATACGTGGTTGTTTCAGTTCGAACTATTGTCTGCTGTTGTAGGAAGTTGCCGTGCGTCAATTTCTGCTGGCCAACCTTCAAAAGGGTGAACGCCTGTATGAATGGCAGTTCAACTTGAAGGCGCTGAAGCGAAACCTTCCCAACATCATCCAGATGCCCGACTTGAAAGGGCTCACCTATGATGGGGACACCCTGTTTATCTGTGGAGGCGACTCTCCTTATGTGAGGTGAGAAGAACCAATGATGCCATGCGTGTGTTCAGGTTGTGCATTTGTGATTGCATCTGCCAGAAGCAGGATTACCAAGTTATGCTGAACAATAGCTTTCTCCTATAAGCTCAAATACTGTATGGCACAGTTTTCCCAAGATGTAGTAACAATCTACTACTTTTCTTTCAAGGAATTTGTGTCAATATCCGGCTGTATGTCTGAACTAAATGCAGACATTGTACGTAGTATTCTTCTACATTTTTCTGTGGGTAGCTAAACTTCTTGAAAGCATTTGAAAAAGAAAGGGGGGGGGGGGGGCTGCGTTATGGTGAAACATAAATGTACATTATCGTTGATGTCGGTGTATTTTTCACCACCTTTCAGATTACTGGCAAAAGCCGTGTATGTATAACAACTCAAACCTCAATATAGAAAGCATGGATGTAACGAATTATCGGTTAAAACAGAGTAAATTAAAAATAGTCACAGATACAGCATTACTTGTCAACGTTTATAGTGAATTCTTAGATATAGCGCAGGCATATTTTTGTGGCAGGTGTGAATTTGTTATAATGAGGTTTGAGTGTATTGTATTCTCTAGTGTAATAACCGGTCCTTGCGCGTAACTCACACCTTCCCTTACTACTACAACCAACTACAGCAAAAATTTCAATAAATGTCCTTGTGCATTGAGCGACCGTGCATTCAAGGAAATGAGTTTTACGCTTTCATAGAAATCACTCCACCATTTATTCTAGAAGATCTCAAAGGGAAAAATGAAAGCAGCTTCACATTAGTGGTGCCAAGCCTGACGAAATAGCTGAGCTGGGTGGGCTTTAATGTTAATGTCTTTATTTTTCTCTCCCTTTCTATTTTTGATTTCTCATGCCATCTATCTCTTTCTGTCTATTTTTTCTATCCTTCTCTCTATTTCTTGCTACCTCTTTTTTTTTTCTAACTTTTCTTTTCCTCTGTTTCTTTCTCTCTCGTTGCTTCGCTATATTCTTTTCTTTTTGACTTGCTCTCTGGTTTTCTATCACTTTTTTGTGTCTCGGTCTTCTCCTACTTTTATCTCTTTAATTTCTTTACTTCTCTCCACTTTCTTTTTCTTACTACCTCTGTCTTTGTTTCTTCTTCTCTCTTTGTACTAATTCTCTTACCCATTTGAACTGTTGCATCCCCCACTGTGCAAATTGCCGCACTCATTCAGAGATGCAATGCAACCAGATGATGAAGGACACGACAAAGAACTGAGTTATTGCACTCATGATAATGGTAGTTTCTTACAAAATCCTCCTCGCATAGAGATTTGAACTTGTTTTTGTCTGTAGTAAGACTTCCCGATTCCTCTAATGCATACTTGATCGAGTTTTTTATTTCTCCAATAACGTAGGATTTGCTAAACACCCGATTTCACCCTGATTTTCGTGACCAGTGTCGCTCCTCCATCCCCACCTACTCTCAATTTGAGCCGTTGGTATCAATGCCACTTTCCTTGCATTGCGGCTGGCGAAGCCATCCTTTATTGTATCTTCATGAAGCCGTGCAGTGAAGTCATCTTGCAAATTGATATTCGGGTGTAACATGCACTGTAACATTAGCTCTAAATTTTCTGCATGTTTTGTCAAGGTATCATATGCAAAAAAATACAGCACATTCATCAGTGCTTATGATTTTTGTCTTTCCTAATGCTTATTTGCCACCCTCATTTTTGATGCACGTAGCCATAAAAAGTCATGACTAACCAACTAGCCCACCACTGTGTTTTTTTTAATTTGTGCTATGTAACGATCTCATCATTTGGGATGTCTCATGAAAAGAGAAATGCACTTAAAGTTGCCATTCCGTAGGAGAGGTGGGGAAGGGGGATGGCTTTTATCAGTGGCGGGCGGAGCGCCTCATACAGGTAGCTTCATCAGGCTTGTGCTATTATTCGACTGTTTTGAATATCTGAGATAATGTCACAGTATCCGAATTCGTTTTGATTAGAATTGAAATGATTGTAAATTTTGAACATTTGAAACCAACGACTAAACAGATACAAACTGCCATGTAAGCCTTTGTAACGGTGGTTTGGCTGCATTAGAGAAGTGCTATGCTGTGAGTACACCTAACTAAAGACTATTCGAAATGCCGTGAAGCTTCACTTCACAGTTAAATGAGCACACCACCTTCACGTCGATTCGTAACTTTTTAAGTTAATAAGCTTGTTATACCACCTTATATGCGCTAAGTATAGTAGATTTTAAAACGTAACATATTTTACTGGTTATTGCTTTCATCGCACCGAAAGTCAAATCCTGCTACTATTTGAAGTTGCTTTTAATTCCCTATGAACTAGAAATAATGACATTTGCACCTGCCTTGTTTTAACTGAAAAATATTGTTCAGGCTATTTGGGTCATGACAAATGTGCTCATTATTCTTTATATGCCATAAATATGATTTGAATTCGATTCAAAATTATTCAGTCGAAACTATGCGACCAAATCAATATTCACTTTGAATCTGAAGTATACTATTTGCGCTAGCATAAGCTTTATGATTGTCTCTGGGAAAACAAGAAGCCTAATTTAGTGAAGGAGTATAAAAAAGATGAGCAGCATCATAACAGTCACGTCTTACAAGAAGTACAGTGTCAATTATAAGCAAGCAATTATTGCATGGCCGTATCGGTGGGAAATATTTGAGGCTTATACCTCGTAGTATGTCTAGCTTTACATGTTTGTGAAAAAGAAAACCATATTAATGCTTGAAACCAATCTTCGCTAAAACCAAAGCATTTAGAACGAGTTTTTTTTTTCTCGCGGAGTGGAATAGATTTTTAGATTCAGTAAGTATGTCACCACACTTCATTCAGTGTCTCTAGCCATGTATTTTAAGTTAAATTAAATGTTTTCTAAGTACTTATGTTGTTTTATTTTGTTATATATGAGTGTCATTAATTTAATGCACATATCATAATTGTTGTTGAACCTGTATTGTACTGTATTAGTTACCTTTGCATGTATTAAGCTATCCTTGTATTTTTATTTATTTTATGTGTGCTGCTCCTTTTGCTTGTGCCAAGTTCGTGTGTGGTATATTGAGATAAATAAAGAAATATATGAACTAGCATGCTTGGCGATAGTAAAACTTGAGAAATATAAACAGTTTCGCTGGTAACTGGAGGTTTTCATCTCTGCTTTACATTGGGGAGCTTGGTGTAATTGCATGCAAAAAATTAAAACAAATTGTTCGGATTTAGTGGTTTAAGTTGATGGAAACGCATCTGTTGTAGAGGAGGCATGGTAGGAGCTGTCGAGTGCAGTATACTCTGAGAACGATGCTGTAATTAAAGGCCAACTCCAACTATTTTCTGAGGTCGGTGGATTTCAATGAAGTTTGCTTGGTACATTCCTTTGCACATTTCCGTCGGTTATATCAAATTACATGCTTGAGAGATGCGCTGACAGTGGACTTCATCACACAGACAGTGACGAAGTCCACTGTCTGTGTGACGTCATGTTTGGCATGTCAATGGAAGTGACGCAGCGGATGGCATCGCTAACTTTAGTCGCTACAGCGTTTACCTTGCTGACCACAAAGGGACGGTGACGGTGTTTGGCACGGAAAATTTTCCTTCCTTCCTCTGTGATGTTTGGCCGGCACGGATGGGCGGGTCCGCCTCTGCTGCGAGTGCCCACTCGTCCCGGTTTTCACAGCTTTCATACACCGAACCGGCAGGACCAGTATACGGCTCCCAGCTCTTGCCAAATAGTATGTCATGTGCAGGCAGTGAGCTCGGTTTGATTTTGGTTTCAGTATTGTGCCCTTTTGCTTGTTAAAAGTATTTTCGAATTTGCTGCGCTTTTGAGCTATCGGGCTCGTGGCAAGAGTGTCTCGGGAACATAGAAGCACGATTACCCTCGCATGGTCGAAAAATCGCCGGAGTTGTCCTTTAATGGCAGATTTTTTGTGACCTACTCTGTCATTCTACTTTTCCAAGGAAATAAAGATAAATTTATGGATCTAAGCAATGCATTAGCAGCCGCCCCTGCCTTGGAGAGTAGTGACGATGGCAGTTGAGTGTCTTCCACACATAGCTACAACTTGGAAGCCCAATTTTATTGGGATAGCACTTTCAGGGCCCCTTCGGCGTGTTTTTGCCATTGAAGTCGCCGTGATGTTCTATAGAAAGTCTAAATCAATAACATAGACTCTCTCCTCCTATATTTTTCCTGCGAGTAAAAGCGTACAAGCGCAGGCAACGAACACTTACCTAGTGGAGAAGAAGCACTCCGGCCACTCGCAGGCGGCTTGTATGTTTGTAGGTGACGATATCACCGCTCACTTTTCAATGGAGTTATAACCAACACGAAGGTGTCATCGCTCGCTTCAGCGAACATGTTTTTTTACGCGAGCGTTTTGTGAAAGAGGCCCTGAAAGACTCTTTCTGGTAACCATGAAATGGATTCACTAAAACAGCTTATTGCCTACCAATTCAACACCGCAAAAATTTTAAGAATCCATCCAGTACGAGCGGAGGTACAAATATTTGTTGCACACTGCAATTGCATTGTCTCTTCTCTCTTCCCGACGAAAAAGTGATGGCATGGGCAAAGAAAATACGTCGCGCGCGCCTCACGACATCGAGCACTTTCTTTTTCTTTTCTTCGAATATGCGGCTATTCATTACGAATCGGAAGCTGCATGCTGCGCTATAATATTTGACTCGCGGGTTATCGGAAGCCTCTACTACCGATGAGCAGCGTTTTGTGACCATGCTCAAAAAGTGTTGCAGGGCCTCTTTAATTCACACCACGTCGGATGCCAAGGGAGTTGTCTAGGAACCTTACTTCATATAACATTCTAGTTAGTTGCCATCGCATTCATTGCTTTGTCATTGAGGCGAAAGTGACTTTTTTTTTTTGTCCACAGGTGCATAACAAGAATTACCCTCTCACATTTTGTTCTGCTGTTTCAGCAAACGGGATCATGATGGCATCAAGGAGAAGTTCCCAAACGCCAACATTTTTTACATCAAAGGCGGCGGACACTGGGTTCACGCAGACAAACCCGCGGAATTCTTAAACTTGATCAAAGAGTTCATGGGCGGTGGTGCGTCCTAGTGTCTGTTGTAAATCGTGCTCTCTTATGTCAGCATATTTGCTGTGTATTGTCACTTGTTAATTGTACAGTAGTTGCGCGTTTTTAACTAGAAAGTGTTGCTCAATAAATTTTGTATACAAAGCCTGCAAAAAGAGAGAAATGTCTGAATGTGTAATTATCGCTAATGCATCGGTTAATACATATGGGAACACTGCGGTTGTCGTGGTGTTACAAAAATACTCGAGTGTGAAATATGCCCAAGTGGGCCGTATGTTGTCTGTGTGAGGACGAGAACAAAACGTTGAAGGTCTGTTCATGAAAAGCCCGCTGCGGAGGGGGACGTGGGAGGGCAAATTAACAGCTTCAGTTATTTGACCTTCTGTAGTTCTTAGTTCCCCAGTATACTTAAAAAGTATACTAGGGAACAGAGAACTAATCTGCAGTTGTCAGGGTGCTGCAGTTGCTTAGTTATGTAATAGACATTGGCATAGACTGGCGAAGGGGGTAGTTCCAACCCTTCCCCCTAACTTTTCAATTCTGCATGTGTATACATTACATGCACACACACAGCAAGTTCACAAACATAATTAAAGCATAGTTGAAACCATCTCCGTCACTACCCCCCCACCCCTTGAAAAAATTTCTGGTAAGTTACTGGCAGTGTATTCTTATAGGGCGAAAGTCTCAAATACCTCATGAGACGCGGTGGTAGACAGCCGGCGTCCCTCGTAATCAACACCAGCACGAGTGATGCAAAATATTACGTGGTGACGACACAAACCACCAATGCATGTGACGTCACCATCATGCAAGATGGTGACGTCAGCATGGCATTGCCGCTTGATTGAATGTGGTGCGATCACGGAGGCAGCAGAGCAGTAAACCAGATGAAGGGCAGAAACCTTGCAATGCCTCCAATCTCTGAGGCAATGCGAAACCACGCTATGTGCCGAAAAGTTTCGGAGGGGGCCGTTGGAGGATCAATACATTGACTGAGAAAAAGAAATCCACACATCTCCACAAAGGGAATCATGGCGAGTGGGTGAAGCTCTGGGCGCGTGTGGGTGAGTAACCGTACAATACGTAAGCGTTGCCCCATATAATGTAAATTGAGTGATATAAAGTGACTTAAGCTGACATGAATAGTTTACAACAAAGATAGGTCCTCATGTTCTTAAGGTCTACGTTGAAGTCGTTGAGCAGTATATAGGGTTCATGCCGGTAGTGAGTGAGTAACAACTTTATTAGTCGAAGGGGTGAGGGGTAAGGGAGGCTAAGCCACGAAGGCTGCCAGGCTGTGCTTCTCGATGACTTCTTCCGCTCGTTTCAGGACCCGTGTCTGGATGTCTATGTCGTTGCTGGAGAGAAGGGCCTCCCATTGTCCCTCGGTGGGGGGTGAGCAAAGGAGGTCGGCGGGCGGGGGATCCTCCGGGCAGCCCCAGAGGATGTGGTTCAACGAGGCAACGTTGCCGCACAGGCAGCAGCGTGGATCGATGGCACCTGGGTGCATGTATGAAAACACGAGGGGGCACGGGAAGGTGCGGGTCTGTAGGCGACGCCAGGCGATCTCGGACCGCTTGGGAAGGCTGCTGTGAGGATGTGAATAGAAATATCGCTCGAGGCGATAGTGCTGAGTGATGTCGTGGTAGGTGACCAGGGGCTCCGGCACCAGGGCGTCCGACTCTGAGTGGCCCACCGCTCGGTCGACGAATCCTCGAGCGCGTTGGTGAGCTGTCTCGTTGCCGGGGTGACCCGAGTGGGCGGGGACCCAGATCAGTTCTATGCGGCACTGCTCATCTTGCTGCAGTAGGGGCCGAAGTAGCCGTAAGGTGGTAGGCGAGACGAGACCTCGCGCGAAATTCGAGATGGCTTGTTTCGAGTCGCTGATTATGACGCTTGCGTCAGCCGAGGTCGCGGCCAAAGCAATGGCCACTTCCTCCGCCTCGACGGCGTAAGGCGTTCTGACGGTGCCAGCCGTGATGGTCGGCCCCAAAGGAGCTGAGGAGGGCGACACGGAAACGACTACGAAGGCGTCCCTGCGTGCATTGTATCGGGCCGCATCTACGTAGGCGACGGCCGGGTGGTCGGCGTACTTTGCGTGAAGCATGGCGGCACGGGCTTGGCGGCGAGCGTCGTGGTGGCCCGCCAGCATATTCTTAGGTAGCGGCTTGATGTAGAACGCCGCTCGAATAGCATGGGGTAATGAGACCAGATCCGGAGGGTGGGAGGAGGTGTCGTGGCCGATGGAGGAAAGGATGTGGCGACCGGTCGGCGAACGGTAAAGGCGTTGCACTTGAGCGGAGCGGTGAGCCTCAATCAACTCGTCGAGCGTGTTGTGTACACCCAAACGGAGAAGACGATCGGTGGACGTGTTGGGGGGAAGGCCGAGGGCAGTCTTGTATGCCCGGCGGATGAGGACGTCAATTTTATCGCGTTCCGATTTTAGGAGACGTGTATAAGGAAGGCCGTACGTGAGGCGGGAAACGACGAAAGCGTCGACAAGGCGAAGTAGATCGTGTTCTCGCATGCCTTCACGCCGCGCACGGACACGGGCGAGCATACGTGCGGTCTGCTGCACCGAGAGCGAGAGCTTGTCTATGGTGTGTGTATTATGGCGGTTGGACTGTAGGATCAGCCCGAGCACGCGGAGATGCGAAACGACGGGGACAGGAGTAGAGTTGGCATGAACCGTGATGGTGGGGTGGGGAGTTTTGTAGCGACGCCGGTCGGGAGGCCGCATGAGAAGAAGGGCCGATTTGGCCGCTGAGCAAGTAAGACCGGCCGCGTGCACGTGGGACGTGACGACGTCGGTTGCGCGTTGCAACGTCTGCTCGATATGGCCGTCAGAGCCCGACGTGACCCAGAGAGCAATATCGTCCGCGTACAGGGTGTGTTTAAGACCGGGGATACGGTCCAGCTTGCCAGGAAGCGAGCGGAGGACAAGATTAAATAGAAAAGGCGACAAGACGGCGCCCTGAGGGGTGCCACGAGGGCCAAGCTCGTACGTGGGAGACGGGAGGTCCCCTATGATGATTTCGGCCGTGCGGGCGGTGAGGAACGCGCGAATGTAGTTGTAGGTGCGGGTGCCGGGATTGAGGGCTGCGAGTTCGGCAAGGATAGCCGAATGGGAGACGTGGTCGAACGCCTTGTGAAGGTCCAGGCTAAGGAGAGCCTTTGTGTCTGAAAATGTGGGTGGGTCGAGGAGGTCATGGTGGAGTTGTAAGAGGACATCTTGCGTGGATAGGTGGGGGCGGAAACCAAGCATGGTGTGGGGAAGGAGATGGTGTGCGTCCGTGTACGTTTGCAAGCGAGCGAGAACGACATGTTCTAGAAGCTTGCCGACGCACGAGGTGAGTGAAATGGGCCTGAGATTCTCGATTGTGAGTTTCTTGCCCGGCTTGGGGATGAAAGCCACGCGAGCGTGTTTCCATGATTGGGGGAGGTTGCCGGAGCGCCAGCACTCGTTGAGGAACGAAGTGAGGGTAGCAGCCGAAGGGGCGTCGAGGTTTCGGAGGAGCTTGTTGGGGATGCGATCTGGGCCGGGGGCGGAAGTGGTGCGGAGCTTCTGTAATGCCGCGTAGACCTCCGCTTCCGTGATATCGGCGTCCAGTACTGGGTTGGGGGCCCCAGAGTAGGACGCGAGAGGGGGAGGAGGTGTGCCAGGAGGCAGAAGCTGAAGGTATTTGGCGGACAGGTCTGCCATCAGCGACGGAGTGTCGCCGGGGTAAGCCCGGACCACTCGTTGTAACTGCTGCCGAGCGACCAACTTGGCAGAAGCAGGGTCGAGGAGGTGGCGGAGGAGATGCCAGGACTGTCTGCAGCCCAACTGACCAGAGAGACCCGAGCAGAGCTGCTCCCACTGTTGGCGGGCGAGCGCGGTGGTGTGTTGCTCGATCGTACGATCGAGGTGCGCAATGCGGCGGCGTAAGCGACGGTTGTGACGTTGCTTCTGCCAACGGTTGCAAAGGCCGGTGCGGGCGGCCCACAGGTGGGCAAGACGGGCGTCAGTTGCCGGATAGTCCTTCGTGGTGGGGATCGAGGCGGTGACTGCGTCGAGGTCCTCTAGCAGCTGGTCGGTCCACGTCGAGAGGTCCTCGATGTTGGAAGTGGCGGAGTGCAACCGGCGTTCTCGGAAAGCGTCCCAGTCTGTATAGCGGGCCGTGTGTGGGCGCGGCTTGCTGGGGGAGGTGAGAACTTGAATGGTGAGGACATAGTGGTCACTGCCGAGGGACTGATGCGTGTTATACCAGCGCGCGTCGGGCACGCTGCGGCAGAAGCTGAGGTCCGGGGTGGTATCGCGGCACACACTGTTGCCGATGCGCGTTGGTTGCGTGGGGTCGGTGAGCAGGGAGAGGTTGAGATCGTGAGCGAGCTGCCACAGCCTCCTTCCGGGGCCATCTGCCTTCGAGTAACCCCAGTCCGGATGCTTGACGTTGAAGTCGCCGAGAATAAGAAGGGGTGATTTGGCTGCTTTCGCTGCAGCGGCACGGAGCAAGGCTAGGAGAGACGCGTCTTCAGTGGAGCGAGGGGGGTTGTACACGTTGAGAATAAACAGAGAGGGCTGTTCACGTTGCTGAGGTAGTGTCTCGAGAAAGACGTGATGGACTGCAGGGAAGGGTAGATCGTGTCGATTGACAGCGAGCGTCCGCCGGGTGAGGACGGCCGTCACGGGATGGGGCAGAGGATGGTGAGTTACTTGGTTGTAGGCGACGTAACCCGAGAGGGAGACGTCGGCGTGAGTTTCCTGTAGTACGATGATATCAGGCGCGTCCGAGGGGTCTAGTTGTTGTAGGTGGAGAAGGAGGTGGTTACGCTTGGGACGAAAACCACGGCAGTTCCACTGCCAAATGGTGACGATGGATCGGTCAGCCATTTTTAACAGCGGAAGATGTTGCCTCGACCGGTGTTTGCGAGGTTCGGGCGGCGCCGGAGGAGGTGGTGGTGCGGGCATGGAGGGGTAGCTTTGCTCGGATGCTTTCAAGCATGGCAGTTTGTAGGCTATCAACTGTTGACTGTAGAGATTGGAAGGACGTGGCGGGGGGGTAGGCGGCGAAGTCTGTGCGCAGGGAATTTAGAGCTTCGTGCTGTGCAGTGAGAAGCTGGTGGACGGAGTTGAAGCGGCTATCCAACCGCTCTTCAAGATCCACCAAGG